TGCAATGAGCCTGGAAAGTTCCCAGGGGGGAGCCTGGACTTCTGCAAAAGCAAAGCTGGTGTCACTTTGTGTCTAGTTGGCCTCAAGTTGATCTATAAGAATGAGATGGAAGCTATAATGCAATGTGATGAATAAAAAGAAACTATCTTGAGGTAGGAAAATTACTGCAGTTCTTGTTTTGAGAATTGCCCATAACACAGAGTACTTGGACTGAAGGTGCCCCAAAGGTGTTGGTAGGGGATCAGCATGGCGCTCTGTGCAAGGCAGGAGAAGAAGATCTTTGGCATCAGGTTTAAGAAGTACCAGTCCATGAGTGAAGAGTCCATACTGAAGCCTGGACAGTGCTCCTTGCTTCAGCAAGAAGGCCACTGCTGCCTGATCCCAAGGTACCTTCCCTCTGCTCTTGGAGTCTTTCTCTAAGGGGTGATGCTCTTTAATCCCTGGAGGAGGATCTCTGCATAGGTGAGGCACCAGGTAGCTGGTTTTGAGAAGTGACACGGGTATGTGTTTTGCAGTCAGACTCTCCCTTTTCAGGCTTAAGTAACAAAACCAGTTGTAGGTGTGCTTCCAATCTTCCAGTGCACTGGGGTAAGGGTTTGAAAGCTGGACAGTTCCTGAAGATGCACCCTGCCCTGAACAAGCAGCAGCATTTGATGAGACAATCATTCACTGTCATGGCTGATGCCTGTGGATAGTGGCAGCCCTGGGAGGTGATGAGGAGGTGAGCTCATCCCACAGCCTCTTTTGTGACGGCTGTGACACCCAAGGTGGGGCAGGGAAACCCTCTGCTCCCTCTCCTCTGAGTTCCCAGTGCCTGGTGCATGCTCCCCTGGCGTCTTCCCATAAACCCCCCTGTGCAGTGGTGGTTCAGACACGGCACATTTTGAAAACATGCTGTCCTTGCATCAGTGGTGCAATCAGCACCAAGTACCCAAATGCAGGCTGATCACCGTGGAGGTTTATTTTCCCCCTTACGAGCCAGCTGTGGGAAGGGAGCCTGGAGTGGCCACTGACCAGCAGTGCTGCCAAAGTGAACATGGGCAGGGTTGTTGTTATTTGCTCAGCCTCCTGCAGGAGGGCAGCCTTGCAGCAATTAATGGCTGTTGCCCCAATGCACCAGGCTGGGGTGGGGTGGGCCTGGCCTCTGCAGGGTCCCTGGAGAGGGGCAGGGGCTAGGCTGGGGCTAAGGCAGGGCCCAACTGCCGCCATGATGTCAGCAGGTCCCAGGGGTGCCGCCATGTTCCCCAACTGTACTCCTGCAGCCTCTCCGCTGCCCCAGGGATGGGCCCCTGGCCTCTCGCCCTTGGTGCCTGCTCGTAGTGGTGTCCTTATCCTGAAAGAGGAGCTGCTGGCGAGCTGCCCTGGAGAAGCACTCGCTGGCAGACATCGCTGGGCAAAGCCTCAGCTCCCACGGCCTGCGCACAGCTCTCCCCAAGCCATCAAGCCTCTGCTTCTGCGGGATGGAGGAAAAAATATTTGGTAAGACAACAGGTTTCAGTGTTAGCGGTTTATTGTTTCTGAGGTGTGAAAAATAAAGGTGAGAAAACTGTGCAAGCAAACTGCCGGTCCATACCCAGGCCCTGGCGTAGGGGCGGCCCCCCTCGCCAGCCATGCTGGACACCGTGAGGAGGGGAGAGCTCACCTCCTGCCCCCAGAGAGGTGGTCACCACGGGGGAGGGTGGTCTGAGGAACAGGTCTCCACAAAACCAGCCTTACCCCTTGGGAGGCGTGTGGTGGCCGCGGGTGCTTGCAGTCCCTGTGGTCCAGGCGCGGCGTGGCTTAGCCCAGCAGCCACAAGCAGTGCCGGGGGGGGTTGGTGCTGCCGTAGCCAAGGGTGGACATGGCTTTCCTCTCCTGGGCCAGACCCTCCTGCTTTTTTCCCCCAAACCAGTTATTCCTGATGTGGTCTGTGTTTCTGATACCTGAGAAATTCCTGTTCTAGAGTAGCCTTATTCTTGTCAAAAATAGATCAGCTGCCCAGGGAGGGGAAATGTACTAAACCTTGTAATTTAGTTACCTTGGTAACATCTGTAAGGAACTGCTAGTACTAAACCACTATTTTTTTTTTCTCGATTTCTTTTATGGCAATACATATTTATGTATACTTGGCAATAGTGTGATTTATAGCCGTTGTATCTGTTCTCCTGAATATTATCTTGATAGACAATAGTTCCCATCTCTAACAAGCAAGGTTAAATGACTGTAAAAGCAGGTATTTGACTTTATAGTAGAAACTGAGATTTACCATCAAGTAACTAAACTTTTGCTAAGCAAAGACAAAATCATGTAAATACTGTATTATTGTTTCAAAGTATTACAATGCTTGATCACATTTACTCAGCATAGGAATTTTTTCAATGGTTGTGTGTCAGAACAAACATAAAAAAATCTGTTTATTTTTTTCTTTTGCATTGTGACATTCTCACCCATGTGTAAGTTTCAGTTGTCAACATTCATCATACAGGGGGGGAAAAAAAAGAAATAAAAGCATTATCACTTATGATTACAAGCCAAAACTAACAGCCTTACTTTGGACTTGGTTGTTCCTGGATCTGGCTCTAGGCACAGCTTTCTTCCCACTCCATCATTCCCGTTTAGGTGTCTCTTTATGTCCTGGTAGTGGCTCCTCTGCAATGACCTGTGACACTCAGGTGCCGGCACACAGAAGTTCCCTGGGGATCAGACTCACATGCTGCAGAGTAGGCAGTGCCCCAGCTTTTAGGTGGCTCTTCGTATCCTCTGGTTACTCAATTGTTTATCTCTTTGCTTCCAACAGCAGGGAATTCTCTGAAACCTTCAAAGGGAGAAGCATCTCTCTCTCAAGTGACCGATTCAGTAATTGATTTAGTTGATTTGAAATTACTGTCACTTGTTAAACTGATAGTCAAGAAGCCAATTATCTTTTAACAGTTCTAAATACGAACCAGCAGTAACCAAATTGTTTCTCTCTTAAACAAAGAAATCTGAATTTCTTTTGGATATCTCAGAGCTTTTAAAATGAGTTGCAAATATGTCTATTCTCTTCAAAAAAATAAAGACCCTCTTCTAAATGCCATTTTCTAGTTCAGAATAATAAAATTGCATATTCATTTCTGAAACTGTGTTTATAATTTTAACCTTTTTAATGTGTTGTGCCCTGTAAAACATAAGTCTCAGGTCACGACAGAAAGTTTATTAAAGGATAAATCTTGCTCACCATGTGTAGCTGAAATCCTCAAGCAGCCCTAGGTTTTCAGATCAGAACATTGCCATTGGTCTGTTGCAAGTTGGGTTGGTCTACACATTTAAAAATCTTGTTCTGAGAGTCTTATGTTTTATTGTGTATGTATTTCTAAGTGGTACATACCAACACAGCTTTGCTTTTTATTGCAGACATTAATTAGAAAGCATTTTGTAAAACAAATGTTCCTTATATAAAAGCATTTGAGTTATTATTTTTACTATGTATTTTAATGAAATTAGGTTTTTTTACAGGTTTACAAAACAAGGCAATTTAAAAAATATGTTCAGAATCTGTGCCCAGTCCTATATACTTTATGACATGAAAGTGTTGGACAAGTACAGTAAGCAAGCCTCTGATACATGCTGGCTTGTCTGTGGCCAAGTGCTTAATTGGATTAGATTATTACCCTTTTATACAATATTTTCTTCACTTTTAAAATTCTGATCTGGGGGCAGTAAATAGTTGGTTTTTGCTGTATTAATGATGGAGAGCCAACAATTTGATTAATCATGTAGTTTCAAGCACAAGTATTTCTGAGCGCATACTTTAAAGAGTGTGTCCTGATGTTTTTTTTAAAATCCATGTGTATATAAATGTGTTTGTTTCTTTTCCATGGAAGTTCTTAGAAGGGCCTGAAAGAAGATGGTATCTTAAGGTACTAACATATTAAGGTCCATTTCATCTTGTATCTCCATTTTCAATCTGTACACATTTCTGGCTGCTAACCCTCCCATTTTGTTTCCAGCTTCACTGTCTGTGATAAGCATAGGCTTGTAGAGCTCTGGGCAGGTGTTTGCACCATTAGCAGAACCATGTAAGTTGCCAAAAAAGAGGTGCCTTAGAGAGTAAGAAGTAACCAAATTGAGGGCTGAATTCTGCTGCCATTTAATCCGTTGAAGGATGAGCTCTTTTACTAGATAGCCTGTTGGCCAAAAGATTGTTTAGAAGTAAAGAAGGGCAGAGTAGTAACACAGATGGCAAATTCCGATGCTGACAAACACAGGATACACAGACCCATAAACATGTGAAGACACATGTTAATCATACATTTCAGATGTAAAATTTTAGGGGTAACAACAACACATCCAAAGTTTTCAGATGTAACTTTCAAATTGATAATTTAATACTTTAATGAGTGGTATTTTTAAATATACTATGACAGACAATGAATGAACAAAGTGAATGAGCACCTGAACAAAATCAAGAGAGGATCTTTGTTTCTGGAGTCAACGTTTCCAGTATAATCCCTCCTGCCAGCAGTGGATACATCAGATGTATTTACATCGCATCTGTGCAGGAGGATGTTTATGGATATGACATATGCTGGTCTGCACCCTTAAAACCTGAGAACTAGATTCTCTCTCAGTGCCATGTGCATCTCTGTTGATTTCAGAAATACGAAATACTGCAGCAATGAACATGGTATAAGAATCTAAATAGATCCATAGACATATGGACAGACAGGTGGATTAAGGCAGACTTTGTCACTTTGTCCCTAAAAGTCCTTTGTGATACTTGTCTTTTGTATACACAGTGACACTAAGGTGTCAGCCCAAGTCATTTCCCTTAGCTTAGTAATATTTTATGGATTTACATAAAGTTTTTACTTGAAAACATGGAGGAGTGTGTGTGTGCACATTTTGCAGAAATGTATTGGTGCTGGTAATATAAGCCATTTTCATTCTATTTTGAAAAACATTGTGAAAGTATAAATTATGTTTAAACTGGACAGAGATGATGATGTGGCATATGACTGAAAATATATATTTTTTAATAGATGATTCAGCCGCAGAGAGTTTTAATGGCAATGAGACCGTGGGACACAGTTCCAATGCTTCAGGGGGAACACACTGCAGGGAGATGGCAGAAACCAACAGTAATGGCAAAACAAATCTGGAGCAGGATGAGCAGCCTCTGAACCTGAGTGACAGTCCCCTCTCTGCTCAGCTGACTTCAGAATACAGACTAGATGATCACAGCAGTAATGGAAAGAACAAATACAAGACTCTACTAATTTCTGATCTCAAGATGGAACGGGAGGCAAGAGAAAATGGAAGCAAGGTAAGATGCTTCCACATGCTCCAGATATGAAGTGTGTAGCTTAGAAAAGGAAAAGATTTGTGAAGCCAAACCAAAGGTTATTCCCAGCTAAGCACTTAATGCAATGTGTCTAACATTTGTCACATCATTACTCAAATGGTATACGTATATTTGTATGCTCTGTTGCACATATATGATGCATATGTACATACATTAAGTGTATGTGGATGTACATGAATGAATACATATATACAGGCATATATGCTGTGCTGACACACTGACAAAAACCAGTGCAGTTCTCCATCAGGCATGAATTTTTTTAGTCCATTTTTTGAGGACTGTCTATATGATGCATTTGAAAGACATATATTAAAATACGTATATAATGAGATATGTATGTCTATGTATATTTATAGATGACCATCTCATTACAATTATTATGTATCTGTAGAATGAATCCGTATGAATGTTAAATGTGTATGCCCAAGCAAATTACTACATGTGAATTATCAGTGTCTGAAAGGAACTGGTTTGGTTCCTTCCTGATTGTTTGTTATGCAGGCACCTAACCTGAATTAAAACTGACAAGTTTGCTTTAAGAAGCTGTAATCCCCTGAGGGCTTTTCTCTAGTTTCTATTATGTGGGTGAGGAGAAGCGAGAGTGGTTATATTGTAGATTAAGACAGTTCCTATAGATTAGATATCTTGCTTTCTTGGAATGTATGTGTCATGAGGGCATACTGTAGGGAGGACGAAGAAGTGGTCTGTATCATGGAATTTATCCTTTGATCCTATTTGGTGATAAGTTCCTGTTTTTTATCTGATAACTCCCACCTGATTAACCATTTTTACAGCAACAATGATAAGATGGTAGTTCTGGATCCAAATACTATAAATGCTAGTTGCTAGCTTTCAGTAGTCCGCTGCAAAATAACATGACAACATAGATATACTTTGAATAGCCATGTTTTTTGCAGGGGTTTGAAACAGGAGTTATGTGGAAAATCACTTTTTCTAGGTTTATCCAGAGACGGATTGTACATGACTGATGTCTAGAGAACATTTATTTATGCTGAAGTTTTAACTCCTGTCTTCATTGCCTGCGGAGTAAGAATAAAAACTTAAAATGTTCTTTTAACTCTAGTGCCTGGTAGGTGGAAGAAGGGGAAACCAGGTGGAAGATTGTTAGTATTTACCTTTCTTAGCCGTTCCAGTTTAGCAAATGATGTATGCCAAGACCTTCTCCATAAAGTCTTTATTACAACCTGTTTATCTGCATGGAATATTTTTGTTTCCCCAAATTTTCATTTTATTGAAAATGTTCTGAATAGCTCTAGTCTCAGAGTGTGTATACACTTCAGTGCTGGATTTACTCAGTACTTCGACTGTTGCACAGTGAGTCCCAAATTGTCTAATATGAAGAGTACCTTCATTTGCTTCAGGGCACATTGTTTCAATAAACCATTTATAACCCAGTCCACTAAATATTGATAAACACACAGGCTCTTTTGCCTGAGGTACATTGCAGCTTCTGCCATTAGTCTTGCAAATACACAAGAAAGGGAAGGAGTGAAGAAGGGGAGGAGTCTTAATGTGGAACTCATTTGTAGCTAAGACAAGAACATACCTTAATGTTACATTTCCAATTTTAATCAGTTCCAACTCAGATGAAAAAAAAAATGTATCAAAAAGTGTTAAAAATTTGTTTCTAATGAACTGAGATGACAATCAAAGCCATCTCATTCTTTGTTATTCTACAAATTTTAAGAGGCTTGAATCATCCCCCACATCAATATATTCTTTCATCATTTGCTGTCATCCTACCCACTCTGTACTGCCAACAATATGCAGATTTGTCTCCCCTTTTTGTGCTAGTGAAACTCTTGTTGATGTTTGCAGTTCATTTATATAATTTATTAGGTATGCAGTAAAGATTATTAAATATGGAGTGAAGACTTCAGGAAGAACACACTCCTGGGATAAACAAAAATTTGTCAGAGATTTGTAATCTGAGTGTAGAGTAAAAAAATGTATTTGTGGCCAATTTCATTTTTTACAGATGAATTCTACTATTACTTTTTAAATTTTAAAAAGCTATAGAATATTTTTAGAAGAAACAAAAACCATCAATACATTAGAATAGAATGGGACTATACAGCACCTCCGTAGTTTATATGCATATGTACACACTTATATGACTCATTACTACTGTTTTACCTTAAGCAGTATCTTACATGTTAAAGAGAATGTTTTACAAGCCCTAGACCTGATCAAAGAGGTCCTCTTGCCTTCCCCTGGTGATTCGGAGTACTGGACCCCTC